TGCAGCTTAACAGGTGTAACGCAGTGGCGAATTGGCGGATGACGATGAAATATCCCAAGAGCCATTTCGTAATAGATACCTTGCCCTTGAATTCCCAACGAGTGTTGGCTCATGCTGGGTATTGCAAGTTGTCATGATTTCGCGCAAGCTCTTTCAGGATCAGTGTGTCATGCTGGACCCTTACCCCGTCTCGGTTACAACAGTTAACCCGATTTACGATGACACAGTGTCAGGTATAGGTTCCATAGCGCCACTCGATTCTCCATTTCCAAAATAAAATCATTGAACAATTTCTTCAAGAAGCTACAGTTTGATGATAGCCGGGGCTGGATTAAGTGCTTGTGCTTCTGGAAGTGAATCGTTACCTGGGGATTTTACTCGAGGAAAAAAAAAAGTGGTTTGACGCAATAATGACAGGTTGGAGGTTGACTGGATGGGCTGATGGTGCTTGAAATGACAGGGCTGACCTCAAGGCTGATACATATCTATCCTAAATCAACAAGATCCACCGGCGATGGTCAGCTTGTTGACGCCTCGCTACTCTCACCCTCATTGTACTCTTTTATTCTGTTTGGCTTTGCATTCCGAACATCGAGAGCTTAAGAAATTTGTCGATTCTTCTACACATTCTGGAAATTCTTCTTCACACAGAATTGAATGCACCTCGTAATGCCCCAATTCATCAAGCGAAGTCAAACAATCAGTCGATTTCCACTGCATCAGATTTCCCTGAATATCTCGGAATTCAGGACTAATATCGATTTTTTTGTCATAACCTTTTTTGTAGATCTGATTAAGACCCGCAAAAAAGGTTATTACAAAAATCCCGTCATCTCTCTCAGATCAGGAGATATTTGTCGTGAAGTTTTGGATTTCACCCGGTTGTTGTTGAATTTATTCATGAGATGATTGCTCTTCGGTCAGGGGTTCTGGTCTTTCATAATCACTCCATTAGAGATTATCCTGACGAACCTTCTAAGGATGCGAAAGCAATCCCCTTGAGAATATCTATCCAGTCTAATTCACTTCTCGTCTATTGAATACTCGACAAAACCCGGAAGATGAACTGGCGTCACGTGCGAGTGGATCCATCCGACAGATATTCAGTCTTCTATGTTGGTAAAAAATAATGGAAGGGAGGCTTGATAAAAAAAACCAACGTAAATAATGGGAGAGGAATGGTAAAAGCTTTTCAACGAGCCTTCGGTAGCCGTCGCAACGTATCTCCTTCGCAGGAAAAAAGTACAAATTCACGCAGGCACTATTATTTATCCCGGTATATTCCGGTGGACCCTTTTCCGGTTGCTGGATCACACGGATGGAAGATACATCTCGCATGGAAGTTTCTGTTTTGTCTACTCTAAGAGAATCCAGGCACTGGGACACGAGAGTGATTTGCAGATATCGGTTAATAAATCAGAATACGGGATGAATCCATCAGCCATTCTATTACACTCCCGTAAAACAATGAAATCCAATTCTGGATCTCATAATTGGTAATTATTGATCAGCTGACCATCAAGGTCACCACCTGAGTTGAGAGACGCCACCGGGAGGTGGCGCGACACCCAGAAAATCTCTGAACACTCATCACTTCTTTATTAAAAAAACACCCTCAATTCATAAATCATCTAAACAATGTAAATATGCAAAATACATGAATAAATCCTGTTAAAGAGACAAAGCCGAGAGAACAATGGACGCCTGTAGGACAGTGAGGCGTCTTCGGCGGTGCGGCGATTTTGATACGCGAGCCCTCACAGGATGCCACGGGCGGTAACATATAATTATTCCTATCAATGACGCCATTGTCGCAATCAGAGGCGTATTATTATTTTGATGATGCCCGAAGGTTGTGTCAAGAAACAGGTTCATTAAAACCCACCAGATGGTCAGCCATCTTGAGAGTCCCCGAGGGTATAAAAATTCAAACGCAAACGCATCATCCGAAACAATGAAAAATCACAAAAAGTCACGATAAAAATAATTCACACAATCTCCAACGGATGATCAGATCAGTAACAATCATCGGCGAATGGTACCAGCAATAGCGACGACAGACTGAATGATATCAGTAAAAGAAACAGTAATTCAACTTGGATTTAGATACAATCTCAAATCTAGCTCTCCAGGAACACCTGTACATGAATTAGACAGTTTATCGTTGACAAGCAGCATGCGCTGTAACAAAAAAAAAAATGTGTAACAAAAAGTAGTGCGTTTCCAGAAAGAGCCTTTCTAAAAACCAAATAATTACCAACAATATCGTACGATCTTCCGTCGAAAGTAGAACCTATGATATATGATTCATGATGAATTAGAGTCGTGGGGGCATGGCAACGATGCATACACGGCTCTCAGCACAGTGGGGTACCCTGGAGAATGGATATTACGGGTAGACCTTTCCCCCTCTTGGCCTCCAATCCTCTGGTGCGCATTGTCTGGCAGCCATGTTGAATTGAGTGCCAGCAACATCGTGATTGGTGGGTTTTTTAGCCAGCGATGTGTACCCTCGCACCCCTCTTCAGGTACAATGCCGCTTGGCCCCCTGTACCACGGGCCAATACCAAGATAGTCTATCAGTTGTCCTCTTGCCTCTTTCATCATAACCATCATCCAGGGTGTCTCTTGCCCCAGGAGTTCCAATTCGTGTCAGTGATCTAGATTCTTCAGAAACAATCGGTGAACAATTTATTGGTGTGCTATCAGTGAAGGTGAACATTTTCATCAACATATTGTGGTTTGGAGGTACCTTGTGAGGGCCGTCTTTGGATTATTAACATTTGGATTAATCTCTGCAAGGTATGTCGTCTAATCACGAGTCTTTTACGGTTGGGGATGAACGGATTCTCGTGATAGGGTAATCGATGATAGGGAACAATCGGTCAATTATCGAAATAATTAACGATCCGACGGGTCTTGGTCACTCCATTATCCGATATTGAAACACCAATTCCATTATTGCGTGAGAATTCTAGGAGTGTGAACAAGACGTCACGAAAGTCCTCGGATGCCAGATATATTTGTCACCTGGTGCAGGACAATGTATGCTGACGGCTACATAGAGATGCATTTCACGTTGGGCTCCAACTGTTCTCGAGAAAAGAAGCGAAAAGTGTCTAGTAATGCAGGAATTATTATCAGTGGTCGTTAGGTACCAGAAATATGAGAAATGATCTGTCAGCGTGGGTCTCGTCGGGAGGAGGACTTTGAATAGGAACCGTGGAATTGAAAGAGATTCGTGTATTAGAAGGCCAATTTTTCATTCGTGATACTGCAAATTTTTGAATACCATTTTTCCGTTGTGGAGGCAGACATTTTCGAGAGATTACTATATATTTCGTAGTCTTCATCATTCTGATAGCGAAAAGGAAAAATGACTTAATTCAGGAACAAATCAGAACCAAATCCAAGAAAAATGTGCCAAATTCATTTAATCCTGATTAATCCAAACTTTTGATGTCAAATGACATTTCAATGTCTCCCCATAAAATAATGTGGGTTAATATTATCCTGTTTTTCACATGCAACATCATCGAATATGAATACTGAATTTTCCTGTGCATCATTGGAGACTTCGATGCTCGAAGGTGAAAATAGGAATGACTCGTTGAGTAATTGTCTCCAAATTGGTGGCAACCTGGAGGAATGGGAGAGGATTTAAGTTTGGAAAATGAGATTGAATTTTTTTTTTTCATCTTGAAACCCATCGACCACTGGAAATGGCTTGGCCCGTCGATTTTTGACTGGGAGATGCCGAGTGGAGGGTGGTACCGTGCCTCTCCAATTTACAGACAGCCATTATCGTGCGGTCGGACGCGCATTTGGGCCAGACAATGGCTGCTACCACTCGTTAATGTAATAGGCATCGAAAAAGGTGCGACCTTCTTCCTCTCTCACTTCGTGACGGACTCAAAGTCACCGGCATAACGAAAAGCCTTTGCCTCACGTTTCCCTCTGTCTTTTATTCTCAGGATTTTGTTTCTCTCGCTCTGGTGCAGGTGAGGACTACCTGAACCGAAAACGCTTCAACGCGTCCGACGCTTCGGGGAAATATTATTTTATCCGATTATTATCTTTAATAACAAGACCCGACGGCCTGTGGAAAGACTTTTTATTCGTATGTTTTTGTGATTCCCAATTGAGGAATTATAAATTTGGAAAAATTTCGGAAACAGGTTGAACTTTTTTTTAACAATATCTTTTATTCAAGAGAATTAATAATATTTTCGAAATAAAAAAAAACTCAATAGCAGAAGGGCATAAGTCGCTAAAATTCCATTCAACTAAAAATAACGTTTGATAATTAATTATAAAAACTTCTTCTCAATTTATTTAATTAATTTATGAATCCACAATTAATTAATAAAACTCAATAAAAGGCCGGAATAAATTAATATTAGTAAATAAAGTTATCGATTTTTGGCGTGATATTTTCTTTTTGAAAATGAAATTTATGGAGCTCTTAAAAAAGAGGTAGTGGTCGTCGGTAGGGGAAGATCGTCTCAGGATTGGTCAGAGGGCGTGGACCTTTGGGTTCACCAGAGGTAGCAGGTGGATCCTAGATGACAACCCCTCTCTCTCCCTCGATCAGTTCCTTTTTTTCTTCACCGTTGAATTTTCACGTTCAGCCTCTGAAAAATTTACCTGCTCGTCAGTTTTCAAGTGGCGAACGGCGCCGATGCTCGATGATTTCAGTCGAGTCACAGTGAAATGCATATTTTTCCTATATTTTTTTTTTACCGTGCGCTTATCGATTTTTTAATGGAAATTTTCAAACCACGAATTTAGTTGGATAGACTCTCATTGTCGGGGTAATTAAAGAGACTGTGGGAAGAATTAATTATTAATTTGTGATTGTGGGAGTTCCTGGGACGTGTGGAAAGTTGAGGTGAAAATTCCGTTAACGAAGGACTTGTGAATTTTTATTCTGTGTGAAAAATATTGTTGTTATCTCGGTGTTGAGAGTTGATTGGTGAACAATTGATTGATTATTACAGGTGAATATATACCCACGGGTAGTCCGAGTGGTTGTGGAAGCAGCAGTGGAGAAGGTGGAGATCAATTTTTGGGTGGACCATCGCTTAATCTAGAATCACCGATCGGTCTCACCGATGATTCTCTAGGATTGACTGATAGTCTAGGTCTTGAAGATGATTTTGCATCGGAATTGCTGAGTGATAGTTTACTCGGTGACGGGGTTGAGGGTCTTCTCAGCAACGACTCGTTGGGTCTGCCCGACGGATTCAATCTCGAAGAGGCACTACAGCTCGTCGGCCTCAATGAGGTCCAGCCAGAGGTAAATATTTTTCATCGACATTTAGAATAAATAAGATCACTCAGTGAATTTCAATTACTTCTCCCTGACCCGCATCAATTTGAATGAAATATCACAGTCGTATTTTTTTTTTTAACCTAATGCAATCTCTAGTCGAGAAATTTTAAACTTTGATGAATTGATTTAAAAAATTGGTATCTTGTCACCTCGAATGATGCCGATATTTAAATTAACATTTTCGTATGTCACATTCAATGGAATTGGTGATATAAAAATAATTTAACAATTACCCTTATCTCTGATTCCGTTATCGCGAATTAATGCCATTTTTTAATGAAGAAATAGAAATTTCTTTCAACGCAACTTTCTCACTGCTATCTGAAAATTTTTACGCGTTACAATATTTATTCTCACTCCGCAAACCAATTGCTCACTTCAATTATTATTTACTTGGAGCAACGTGTGATCGTGTGGATTGATTTAATAATTAAATTGTTAGATATATAGATTAATTGATGATTCGATATTCTTGGAATTCAGGAAATAAAGCAAGAGGAGAAGAAGAAGAAGTTAGACTCGGCGAAATCAAGTTCTTGTGATCTTCCTGGTGGCAGTGAGTCAGAAAGTGATCTCAATTCATCAAGGGACGATCCCGAAGGCGACGATATGATTCACACACCGCAGTTCCATCATCCCCATCATTCCCACCGATCCTTGCAGGTGAGTCCGCCATTTTTTTTCTTATAATGCAATCACTTTGACCTGGAGGCTCGATCGAAGGACAACTTTAATGAATGAAAAATAGTATTTACTGTTTACTCTGCTGTTACTACTTGAAGGCGCATGAGACTGGATTTTTTTGTCTCAATGAATCACGATGAATATTCAAAAAAATGCATTTTGAATGGAATAACTACTGGGAATTTCTGGCAATTATCGCAAAAATAGATTCTACGCTTTTTTCGAATTCTCAATAACAACCGGAATTATTATTGAGGTCACGAAAATTCGTGTTCATTTTGAAAATTCAATTCGAATCATTTATTCGGATTCAATCAAATTCAATATTTTTTAAAATACTTTTTGAGAAATCTCGGAATTTTTTCCATTTTCAAGATTTTTCATTCAGAAATAGTGGAATTCCCATAAAATTATTATTAACAATTTCATTTGTTTGTTACACCTATCCAAAAATCAATGCATAATATTTATAAAATTATAAAATTAATTATTAATTCCGGCATCATCCGAATTTACTTCACGAAAAGATTTAAAAAATTCGTAATGCCAGAAAAGTCCAGGGTCTGACCGACTTATCAGTAACAACGAGACCAACTGCGCACCCCATGCGCCGAATTTGAATTTGGCGGTTCAAGTTGACCAATGAGGAATCAGTCCCACGCGTTTCGAGATATTTCGACTCGGGCGAACTTCATTGTTGTGCCTCTACTTCCCGAACTAGGATAACCACGAAATAAAATATGAATGCGTTTAACCTTTAATCATTCTAAGCGGTTTCTATAAAATCTCCGGAGTAATTTTACCAGTAAAATCGTACAGATAAATCTCCGACAGAATACACAACGCGGTGCGCGCGCAGTCGCGCGTTTTAGTCTCGTTAGGTAAAAACTTGAATTTATGAAACGGCAAAAAGGGAAGATGCGGTATCCGAGTGCAATATCTCCCGTGGTTTTGTCGAAAATATCCGTAATTAAAGGTTGCCCTGGTGATACGCTCCCTACAATGATATACGAAGTAGGAAACCCGGTAGATAAGAATACGATGGTATAGCGGATTTTCTAGAGGCGTATGAGCCGTGTAGTTAGAGCGGCGTTTACGATCCATAAACAGGACATTCATTATTTACAACTGCGACCACGAGAATATCCTGGTGTGTTGATGCACCATTGGGGGATTGCACCGAGAAGAAAAGAGAGCTTAGGTACCATACCAGCTTCAAGTATATACCGGCATCCTCAACCCAACAATTATACGTCGTAACTGTGGCTTAATGTAACGAGTCGATGTGCAAGTTTTGTTGTTAACGTGGAAAAAATTACTTTTTCACCTTCTGTCAGTGGCTTTTTTTTACATCTTTCTTTTTCTCCACACCTTTGGCCATTTTTTTCGGCGGCTGTGGCTGACGCATAATCTTGGGATTTATCTCGCATCTGTTGATCGTAGATAAATATCGCGGGGTTTTTCACGTTAAATTTCACGTCCATTCCGCGAAATAGAAAAGCATTTCTCCGAAGTATTTTATATTCGCGGAATTGACTGATAAAAAAACGAGACGATTTCGGGGATTTATTTATTTTATCGATGGATGCATCGGGAGATTAGGAATTTCAATTGATCTGTGAAATCTATTGGAAATTTTGAATCCTCAGGTTAAAAAAAATTGTAATCGGAATGTTTTTTCCAAATTTTCAAAAAATTGTTTAGACATTTTTTTTATGAAACAAAAAAAAATCGGAAGACATAACAATTTTATTTTTTGGAAAGGTTTTGAAAAATTTTTCAAAACATTTCCAAAAAATACAAATTTTTATTGTTTCAAAAAAAAAATTCTGAAAAGTTTTCCCGAAATTTTTGGAAAATTTGGAAAAAATATTCCGATCACTTTTTTTTCCACCCGGCTCGTTAATTAATTCTTGATTTTTTATTCGTTTTTACTGCAATAAAATAAATCTTGAATTTCAATGAATCCTTCATTGCCATTAATAATTCCTCAATCATTATGATTATTTATTGATTTTCGTTTCAACGAATCAATCAATAAAATCAAATGAATTCACCCTGAGGAGTAAAAAAATAAAAAAATGAGATAATAATGTACTAATTGCAGATGACACGATTTTGCACGTCTGATTGACACTCATTAGACACCCGATTAATGTTCATCTACTCGTTCCAACAAGCATTGACTGCCCCTTCAATTATCCATCTAATTATTCACCTAAAACCCCAGATAAGCCATTGATACCGCGTCTCTCTCCTGATTTAGATGCCATTACCGCGGATTCTGTAATGCATATCCACCTTCTAATGATCTTTCTCCGAAGCGGAAGACACGTTACGGTACGCATTCGGTCTGCGTATATCATAAAGTATAAATACGTCAAGGTGAAATTTATCGCCTTGGCCTCTTCGTCCTTAAAGATATGCGTGTCAGTACCGTATACAGGTATATGCTTAAACCGTAAGACTACTAGTAATCATGGAACAACTATTATTCCAGTGGATAGTTACAATGTGTCCCATTGCTACTTCAACTTCTGTACTTGTATCCCATTATGCAACTGATTTTTACAATTTATCGCTGATTATAATTGCCATTTGTCAGCAAATTAGGGTTATCACGGGTTATTTATTGGCCTTTATAATCACCGGGCGTCGATTCGAAAGGAAGAATATTTTTTAGTCTGCATTTTCATCGCCATCCAAAATATTTAGTCCCATTTTTACCGGTAAATTCATTACTGCATCAATTAATTACCTTTTTTTAATGATAAATTGATGATTATTGAGTCGCGGGGAGATTAACGAATTTAGGAAATAATTGATTGAATAATAATCAATTCAATTTGTCTGTCAATTTAATTAAATCGATGACGCGTGAACGCCTGAACGCCTGAACGCCTGAACGTTCAAATTAAATAATTAAATCGTTTTGATTTTTCATGTGCGTCGAAACAATTTTTATTTCAATAAAAATATTAAAGTAGAAATGGTTTTTAATAGATTAAAATGTGAGATTTGACAGAAAAAGAAAAATGTGAAAATGTGGAAATTCTGATATTTGATTGCATTGAGGATCTGGTAATGATTTTTTTGGTGGCTATTGCGATTGATGAGTCCCATTTTGAATCCGATGATCGGCCATGATTTCCTGGCAATCAGAGGACATGAACGACATTATCATTATTTTTCACGTGACATTGACATCTAATCTACACTCACCGGCTGTCACATCAGCCTTTCCCGTCCGATTACCGAGGAATTTTATGGGGTGATTTTATATCAAAAGACGAGGGTCTATTTATGGAAGGTGTTTGAAAATAAGACGCCATTTCTGGTGACAATGTTCTTACCGGGAATTTTCCCTGAGAACTTTTCCGTGAAATATCTTGCGGTTCAAAGTTGAGGAAAAGTTCTGAGGGAAATTCAATGGAAATTATAAATTTCGATTTGAAATGCCCGAAAAATAATTCATGAAATTCGTCTGTCAATCGAAAAAAAATTGATGAAAATTCCGAGTGAACGCCTGAACCCGCCTGAAAATTATCTGTCAATGCCAATTAAATGAAAAAGATATTTTTACACTTGACAAATAAATAATTAAATAAAAATCGCCGAAATTCGTCTGTCAGTTCATCAAAACCCAAAAAATTGGACTTGAACCCCTGAAAACCCCAAAAATGCCTGAAACCACCTGAAAATTATTTGTCAATGCCAATCAAATCAAAGGGACACTTTCACACTTTAAAGATAATTAACTAGATAAAATCCAATTAAATTCATCGTCAGTTAAAAAAAAACAGAAAAATTGGACTTGAACCCCTGAAAACCGCAAAAATGGCTGAAACCGCCTGAAAATTATTTGTCAATGCCAATCAAATCAAAGGGACACTTTCACACTTCAATGATAATTAACTAGATAAAATCCAATTAAATTCATCGTCAGTTAAAAAAAAAACAGAAAAATTGGACTTGAACGCCTGAAAACCGCAAAAATGCCTGAAACCGCCTGAAAATTATTTGTCAATGCCAATCAAATCAAAGGGACATTTTCACACTTTAAAGATAATTAACTAGATAAAATCCAATTAAATTCATCGTCAGTTAAAAAAAAAACAGTAAAATTGGACTTGAACCCCTGAAAACCTGTCGACAGCAATAAAAATCAAAAAGACACTTTCACGCTTGACGAATAATCAATTGGAATTCTCCTGTCAGTTCAAAGAAATCCCCAAAAATTTTGCGTGAACCCCTGAAAATATTTAAACAATAATTACATCCCCCGAACCCCACATTAACTCAAATACCGAAGACGTTACATTACACGCGACTCATGGATTTCAAGCCCAATGGGCCAATGGCAGGATGAAGGTTATCCCCTACTTTTCAGCCAGTAGCACTGGTGATTCTTCCCAGGGAAATGTGAACGCGTGTCTTCACCGACACTCGCCAACAGCACGCGAGTTGAATCGGTTCCTTTCCACCTGACAAACAGGTGCCTCTCGAGCTATTTCCGCGATTTATAATCACCATTTTTCAACAGATAACTCAGTGTCACGTGTTGTCAAGTGTTTGTCATTGTTGTTTTTTTTTTATTTATTTATTTTCCGTTGTGCAATGATAGATCTGGAGGATTCGTGCAGTGTTCGACTGAATCCTCCAGTGTCCACTTACAACTGGTGACTCCCAACTTGAAGACTGAATTTCCAGGCTCAAGTGGATTTATCACTGATGACAGAGGTTCAGGCTATAAAGGTTCATCAAAACACCAATGATTGCACTCAGATATCAACCGGTTTAGAATGTTGGAATCTGATTGTCGACGACGGAATTTTACAGGTAGTTTTAATCAATTCTCTTTTCCCCAGAAATTCTGATCGAATCTCCATTGAATTCCTCATTAATTAATCGATATTAATTTCTCTTCATTACGAGTTCATGAGTTCAATCAATTCGTTGATGAATTAATGATCGTTACC